TCTCGCCCACGTCCCCTTCATCATGCTTCCCGTTACACAATGAGTAGCTATGGACATTTTGGGATCTGGGTAACGAAAAGTTGAATTGGAGATACATTCAACTGGGGCTTGATGAAGTACACGTAACAAATTCACAGTCACTTCCGCATACAGTTAAATCATTACTTACCCTCATGCAGCAGTGGCTTCCAGGAATAGCCCACCCACTTGGCTGACTCAATGGGTGAGGTGACCAGAAGGGGTAAGGCCAGCAGAGGTGTCCTATTACGAGCCTGTCCTACACTGCAGTGCCCAATCAGAAGATGTGGATGGTGGAGGACTCAAGGTTGAAGTGCACAGAGCTAGAAACTCATCTGTGGAACACTCTTCCAATTCCCAAAACAGAAATCATAAGCAGAATCTTCAGTTCTTATTGTGCCTTATCAGAAAACAAAACGTTTTTCTTTCTGTCAGAAATAAATAGATCATGGCAGCATTTAAAGTGATAAATGTTGGGGCGCCTGGGTGGCTTAGTCGGTTGAGCGTCCGACTTTCGCTTAGGTCATGATCTCGCGGTTCATGGGTTCGAGCCCCGCGTCGGGCTCTGTGCTGACTGCCAGCTCAGAGCCTGGAGCCTGTTTCAGTCTGTGACTCCCTCTCTCTCTGACCCTCCCCTGCTCACGCTGTCTCTCTCTCTCCTAGAAATAAATAAAACATTAAAAAAAATAAATAAATAAAGTGATAAATGTACCATTGTACTTGGTTCTTTAACAGGAACCACACAAATATAATTTTTAAGAAGTCCTGTATTTGTAGGGCACATCAGTGTAGTGTTTCTACGAACAGTGAGTATTTCTGGGTGAATTCAACACAATAAATCAAGATGGTGTCTCAGTTTGTCTGATGCATCTTGTCATGATGAAGTCCGGCAGTTCCAGAAGAAATAGCACCAAGGAAGCAAAATGACTCAGAGAAACAAATGCTATCAAGCTGTACCGATGAGTTAATAATAAAGACACCATATTTTGCAGGATCTTGTTTCCAGTTTTTTCAAGTTTGTAATTTGTGGGGATTTCTTTCTTTGTTCTAAATAGTAGTCATTTTTCATACCTGATTTTTTTTGTGACTCCGTATTTTTTTTTTTTTGCTTTTAATTTTTTAATGTTTATGTATTTTTGAGAGAGACAGAGCGCAATCAGGGGATGGGGCAGAGAGAGAGGAAGATGGAATCTTAAGCAGGCTCCAGGCTGAGCTGTCAGCACAGAGCCGGATGCGGGACTCAAACTCATGAACCACGAGATCATGACCTGAGCTCAAGTCAGAGGATTAACTGACTGAACCACCCAGGTGCCCCAAAAAATAACAAATTTTTTTTTAAATGTGTGGGGGTTTGATGTTTGGAATTATTTATTTTATTTTCTTGGATCTTGGCTATCTAAAAGTGCCCCTTTTCTACCTTATACTTAATTGGTAGTGTAACTGGGTATAGAATTCTTGATTGGAAGCTATTAAACCTTCAGCATTTGGAAGGTACTGCTTCACTATCTTCTAGCTTCCAGGACTGCTGTTGAGAAATCCAAACCCATTTTGATTTCTGTTCCTTTGCATGAGACCCATTTCCTGTCTCTGGAAACTATAGAATCTTCTTTGTTCATAGGTTTCCATGCCTTGATGTGACCTATTTTATCCATTGTGCTGGACATTCCATGAGTCTTTAAATCTGGAAATTTACATCATGCAGGTTTGGGGGATTGAATTATGTTACTGATAATGCTTTCTCTGTTTCATTTGCTCTCTCTCTCTGAGAAGAGAGGGCATTATTATTATTTGAGAGACTGTTGCATCTCCTATACTGGATCTTTAATTTCTCAACTTTTCTATTTTTTCTCTTTGTCCTTTTACTTTACTTTCCAGGAATTCTCCCAACCTTTCTATTTATTTGTTAATATCAACTATCAGTTTTTAAAAATTCACAAGAACTCTTTTGTGGCTCCCTGAATCTTCATGTTTTATAACATTCTGTCCCTGCTTCATGGATATAATGTTGTCTGCCATCTCCTTAAGGAAGCTAGTAATTGTTTTTGTTCTGCTTTGTTTTGTTTTCTTCTCCTTATACAGTCTCTTTCCTCCAAGTTGCTTTTTTCGTGTTTAGGCAGTTGGTTGATTTTGAGTCTATCATGTTAGAAACCTTCCTCAGATGTCTTGAAATCCTAATTATCTAGTTACATTGAAAGAGATTAAAAAGCTGAGTTAGTGAAGGTTATCACCTGGGAGCTTCACAATCGTGCTCTGGTTATCCTGTCAATGGGGACGAATGTCCTCATCTTTAGCTCTTTCCTCTTGGGCTGATCAGATTCCCCAGAAGACTCTATTCCCAGTATGAATGGTAAAGCCTTCCATGTTGCATCCTGGGAGGCAAGTTGGGGCCAGGCAGTTGGAGAGCTCAGCATTCAGAATGCATATGTTCCTTTTTTTTTTATGTTTATTTTTATTTATTTTTTAAATTTTAATGTGTATTTATATTTGAGGCAGAGAGACAAAGCATGAGTGGGGGAGGGGCAGAGAAAAGGGAAACACAGAATCTGAAGCAGGCTCCGGGTTCTGAGCTGTCAGCACAGAGCCCGATGCAGGGCTCGAACCCACAACCCATGAGATCATGACCTGAGCTCAAGTCAAAAGCTTAACCGACTGAGCCACCCAGGTGCCCCAATGTTTATTTTTGAGAAAGAGAGAGAGACAGAGACAGAGTGTGAGCAGGGGAGGGGCAGAGAAAGAGGGAGACAGAATCTGAAGCAGGCTCCAGGCTCTGAGCTGTCAGCACAGAGCCCGAGCCAGGATTCGAACCCACAAGCCACGAGATCATGACCTAAGCCCAAGTCGGACCCTTAACCGACTAAGCCCCCCAGGCGCCCCAGGAACAGTCTGTTTTAAAACTCACCCTCCCATCTGTCATTTTTCTCTGCCAATAGACCATATGTGCCTGCAGTTATGTCCAGCTCAGAAATAACCTTTTCAACCTGACTCCTTCCATCCAGCCACGTCTGTAAGACAAAACATCTCCACAGCCCGACGTTGCTTTGCTCACATTCCACTCCAAGAACCAAGACAATAACATCAAGACGCCTTGACTTCAACTATGTGGTTAGGTGGTCACGCAAAGGATGCAGAAGTGCCTCCTTACTTCTCTCATCTCTGTCTCTTTGCCGCCGCCGCCACTGCCATCACCGATCCTTCACATCTGAGAGTTTCTGGCATCATTTGCAGAAAGCCGGTGTCACTATCCCAGGGAAGACAGTTAAACAAACTTTAGAGAAAGATGACAGTAATGACATAACTTGCTCCTTAGGCTTAAACTTGTCAAGCAATAATGCTGATATTTTGAGTTCAACACACTGCCATTCCAATAGTATTATTATTATTATTATTATTATTATTATTATTATTATATGTGGCAAACGACGGTGCTATGGATGCTAGGAAAAGGTGGCGGGTATACATCCTTGCTTAGAATTAGGAAAACAGACAAAATCTGCTTTCACTCTCTGGATCAGCATAAACATTTTAAAAGGTTTCGACTTTTCTCCAGATTTCTCTCTCTTGATGAATTGCCCTCACTCATTCAGTGGGGAGAACCAAGAGCCTCCCTCCTTTTCTCATCTTCCTCCCTCCCTCTAAGCCTCAGTGTCCCCACCTGTCTGCCTGATGAGGGAAGTGGACCAGAAGATAAGCTCTGAGGTCCCCAGGCGCTTAGAGTCCAGGCCCTTCTAGGGAGAGGAAGGGGCGCGGTCGTGCCCTCAGCGTGGACCTCTCTGCCTCCCTGGTGGACCATGGGCTCCCCAGGGCCCCTGTCGGCTCTTCTCATCAGTGAAGACTCAGAAAAGGAAGGGCAGGAAGCTCCTAAGCGATGACTTCTTAGCCTGTTCACAAGGAGAGCAGAGGCTGCTGGGAGGGGTCCAGGCCTCCCCCCACCCCAACAGACAGAAGTTGGGGCCAGACAGTGGGCTGATGCTCTTGCATGTACTCAGGTTCCTGCCCCAGCCCTCCTAAGCTCTTCTGGGTAACCTTGGCCCAGCCTCTGGCTGCCCGGAGGCACAGACAGCCCGTGGAGTCATTTTAGTGAGCCTCTGTCAGCCGGCTGAGAGTCCCTGAACTGTCCAGTGCCTTTCCCTGTGGCCCCAGACTTGGCGTGTAGCCCACAGGGTGGAAGGGAGAACCCACAGACCTCGCAAGCCAGACCCAGGAAGCACACAGGCAGCTGGGAGGAGGCAAAGAGCCCAGTACCATCGACTTTTACAGCCCAACGACCGGTGTGAATGCCTCATGCCCAGACCACACACTTGCTGCTCCACACACAAGTCCTTGCGGACACGTTCAGATGTCTTCTCTTGGCCCTTTCCCGCCTCATGCATTCGGCCACCCCTTGACGCATTCTTCAAAGCAACTCTGTTTGTCGAAAACCCTTCCTGGGCTGTCAAGTCCTGCCTCTGGGGATGATGACTAACTGGCCTTGGGCAGGTAGCAGAACTCAGCAGTGCGCCTCATGTGTAACGCGGCCGGGGCGCTGGGAGCCTTAGACCCTGTGCAGGTGAAGAGCCTGGCGCCGCAGATTCGCAATTCTGTCAAGAGGCGCGGTGGCCCGGCTTTAAAGTCTTGTGAGCCAAACCAGGTAGCAGAGGCGCGAGCTCCGGAGAAACCAGGGCTTGGGTGACGCACACATGGGATTCCCGTGCAAAACAGGGCTCACGAGGGCCTCCTTGTCGCCTGCACAGCGAGGGAAAGAGGATCGGCTTCTCCCAAGGCGACCTTTGCGCATGTAGACAAGACCTGATCACTCCCGGCCTTGAGAGGAAGGACTAGCCCGGGAAAGTGGCAACAAGTCCCGGCACCCCGGGGCACCCCGGGAGGGAGAGGCGGGCGCTGCGACAGGAAGGGGAGGAGGAGACAGCGGATGGGACAGGCCGGCCCAGCTCCAGCTCCCCCGCGCAGGGCGGGGTCCGGGCGGGCCCGCCAGCCCGCAGGTGAGCTAGCCGGGGAGGGGCGGAGCGCGCAGCGCAGCCGGTGCCAGGCTCGGGCGCCCGCGGCCACCGCTCCGAGCCACCGGCCGCAGCCGCTCTCCCCACCGAGGCCGAGGCGCCCCGGAGCCATGGCCGGCCAGAACTGCGGGGCCACAATCGCACTGCTGGGGGTCCTGCTGCTCGGCGCCGCGCATCCGGGAGCCGGTGAGTGCCGTGCGGCTGTAGCGAGTGGCGCGGGTGGTGGAGGTGGCCGGCGAACGGGCGCCGGGCGGAGCGCGCGGGGAGATGCTGAGTCGGGGTGGGGGCGACGCAGTCGCGATGCACCGACGGCGCGGGGTCCCCGGAACCGCCCGGCGCCGGGGCGCGCGGCGTCGGGCGAAGTGGCCGTGCCCTCCTGGGTTCCGAGCGACCTCGCCCTGGGCGCAGGCCGGGCACATGGGAGTGTCCCCGAGCGGGGAGCCGGGCGGCCGGGGGTGATGAGCCCGGCGCCAACGGCTCAAGAAGAGAGAAGTGCGCGCCCCAGCCGAGTCCCGGGGACCTGCGGTGCACTGGGGGCTTTACCTGAGTGCTTTGGGGGCGCCGGGGCTGGCTGTGGGGAGGGGGCCTTCCTCTCTTGGCCCACCCTCTACCTCCTCACCTGGGGCTGGAAGAAGAGGCCAGAAAACAGTGGGTTGGCTCCGGTAGCGCGCGGGATCACCCTTTTCCCGGTCCGCACGCCCCATTCTAGCTCTCCCGAAGTTCGGGAACGTTAATTTGAAAATGAAAGCGCCAAGCTGGAGAAGGCTCCGGGCGTCGGTGCCAGGGGCGCCCTGCGCTCCAGCCCCCGGCGCCTCCAGGTAGTGTTTGTACTTTGACCCCGCGAGGGGGTGGGCGAGGGGGCGTTCCGGAGACGTGTGTGAATTTCCAGTTGATCCGGTTGTGCACCGGGACCGTAGTCTCCCGGCTGCGGGTGCTTGCCCTGTGCCTGGGATGGGGGTGGCGAGTGGGGGTGCCCTGCGGGCTCTGGAAGTATATCAAAACGTAGAAATAAACCGGGGTTCTGCGTGTTAAGAACTTAATTTGAAGTCTTTCCTGAGGCTAGCACACGTTTTGTGATTTTTAAAGTTATCCAGGAAGTGAGTGGGGTCTTGGATTATTCTTTGCTTACCCCTAAGAGGGCCTTTGTGTTTGACGCGTAGGCAGATTAAGGTAAATTAAATGAAGGAATAAAACTAAGCGGGTGTGGTGAACTTTGGTGTTCTGGCAACTGCGGTCGTTACAAACCCACAGGAAAGCTTCCTGGTTCTTTTCTCCAAGAGCATGGTGACATATTACTGCAATTCCCCTATATCATTTTAAGACCTCATTTAAAACCTTGTGCCCGTGTGCAAATCTACCGTAATACAAATTTACTGTAAGACTGAATTTGCAAGATGTCCTTTGAAGAAAAAAAATCCATTTAAGAATAGAGAGTGATTTCGCAGGTGAAAATGCGTGTAAATGTGAGAGAAAAACAGGTGTCCATCACACTTGGGAGCTGTATTGAAACTCAGAATCCTTTGAGATGTTTCCGGTTGTCTTTGATAGTCAGAAGTCTCCCAGCAAGAGCACGGTGTAAATCAAGGGATTACTAATGACAAGGATGAAGGCCGGCCTGAACAAGCCTCTGTTCACAGGTCTGATTTCTCCCTGTGGCCCTGAGAGCTGCCATTTTGGTCTCCAGCACAGTCCCTTCCTTCTAGGAAGTTCTCGACTGTCGGAGCCATGCCTCATGGTTCAGGTATAGATTCGGGGAAAAGCCTAGGAACTTCCCAGCCTTCCTGTGGTCTCCGGGACTGGCTGTGTGTGGCCACCTCACTGGCCAGAACTGGGGGCTGAGTCGTTTGGAGGTTGGAGCTATTTCAGAGGACAGCTGCTTTGCCGGACAATTTGGGGTTGGTCTGACAGGTGAGGGGTCTTGGAGAAGTTCCTGGAGTCTGTCCAGAAAGATGGGAAAAGCCGGAGAGGCCGACACAGTGGATTTGTTTTTTAAACCCCTGAACTCTCTTAACAAAGACAGCCTAGTGAACGTGAAGCTGGTGTCCCTGCAGAACTGACCTGCAAGGGAGAGTTTGCGTCTTGATGCGGGCGTGTTAGCGTGAGTTTGGTGTAGCTGCGCGCTCTCCCACTTCCAAGAGCGAAGGACTGGTTAAGTTGGAATCATAACCGTGTTAAAACCTCAGCGTAGTGGCTTTTTAAGAATTGCTGAGTGGGACTCCTGGGTGGCTCAGTTGGTTGAGCATCCGGCTTAAGCTCGGGTCATGATCTCGCGGTTCACGAGTTCAAGCCTCCACATCAGGCTCTGTACTGACAGCTCGGATTCTGTGTCTCCCTCTCTCTCTGTCCCTCCCCTGATGCACTCTCTCTCTCTCTCTCTCTCTCAAAAATAAATATACATTAAAAATTAAAAAAAAAAAAGAATTGCTGAGATACCAGAGTCTGGGTTCAGTGACCCCATTCTTGCCTCCATTGTGTTTCACCAGAAATGTGAGCAAACATCAAATGATGTGTTCACTGGCCCTGGATGCGTCTCCGTCTTCGTCATTCTTTGGATTCAAATGAGGAGCTGGTGGCTGTTGTCTGGAATGAGTAACCGGTAGGGCTGATGAGTCTCCCTCACCCCCACAGATTTTCATGATTTAGAGTCAGAGAGGGCTGCTGTGCTGACCCTAAGGATGTGCTCTGGGGCTGGCCCAGCAGCCTCAGGGCTCACCTCAGATGCTGCCATTTTGTGTGTGAAGACTGTACCCTACCCCACCATGCTCTTCTGGGGGGTTCTCCCAGGCTATCAATGTAGGGGAAGGAAGTTGAAAACTACTATTAAAATGTTTCATGTAATATATAGTTATTGTAGAAAAGTTGATAATAAATATAACCGAAATGAAAAAAAATAATCTGTGAGCAAAGCACTTTGGTGCAGTCTAATCTTGTGTGTGTGTGTGTGTGTGTGTGTGTATGCACAAAACCAAAACTGTGACCATCTGTTGTATGGCTTTAACCAGCCCCCACAGGTGGGCAGTTAGGCTGTTTTCCACTTTTCCTGCTAAAAAAACAGAACGTGTCCGACAATAGGGGACTGCCTATATCAGTTTTGATAGGTCTGTTCAGCGAAAAGCCATTGAAAATGATGTGGCGTGGATTCTATAATGACATGAAATGATGTCGTCTCTGTGTGGCTGAGGTTATAAAACAGTAGACGCTGGATTATCCCATTCTGCGATCTCTGAGCCGGGTTCTTGTTGCCCAAATCACTCTGCCCTTTCTTGACGATTCTGTCCAACTAAAATTCTGGAAATAGAATTGCCGGCATGGAGTGTAGAGAAAACGCTCAGACTCTGGAGACTTCCTCCCTTGTGGCCTCTGGAGAGCTCGCCCTGTGGTCCTGGTGTACATTGTGGCTGGCGTGTGCCAGTGCCTGGTCCCCTCACTCGCAGGCTGTCCTCACTCATGTCAATGACATCTATGGAAGAAGAAGCCTTTTCCTCCCTCTGGTTCAGCAAACAGGGTCTGAACAGTGTTGGTGGATATTCAAGAATCTTAGGAGCACCCCAGCTAAGTGATTATTTTGCTAAAACACATACAGCTGCGCACGCGCGCGCGCACACACACACACACACACACACACACACACACACACCCAGAACTGAGTCCCTTGACTTACAACTCAAGCCTCACCTGTGGGTTTGTCAAGCAGGGCTGACTCGGGTTTGGATGGGGGAGGGGGTGGAGTTTGCTGGTCAGGATTCATGATTGTGGTCAAGGTGGGTGGGGCCGCGGGTGGAGGTCAGGACCCCGGCGAGGGAAGACCCATGGCTAAGGCTGTCCACCTGAGTGATTAACAACAGTTTATACCCTCTAATTATCATTCTAAATGATAAAAACTATCCCACAAATTATTCCAAACCACTTCCTACAGCCTTGTAATTAGCCATCACCTTCTCCCAGGCAGCTGGCAATGATCTAACAACCAGCCAGGAGAGCCAAGTTTCCTGCCTCACCTCCTTGGAGCCTTGAGTTTGTCTTTCAGGACATCATTTTTAAAACTCACTAACTACTGCTTGTAATAGCTAACATGTCCTGAGCTCCGCGCCAGCCGCCTTCTGAGTGTTTTATGTGTGACCATCTCCCGTTAACCATCGGGGATTCATTCTGTAAAATCACGCGTGCTGCACGAACCCACTAACCGATGCCCTTTGTCTCACGATTTCATACGGGAAACATTATAACAACCCCAACCCCCAACCATTTCCAAAAATAGACAAGGGCACCTGGCTGGCTGCATCAGCGAAGTGTCTGACTTATGCTCGGGTCATGATCTCGAGGTTCATGAGTTTGAGCCCCGCGTTGGGGACCCTCCCCTACTCACGCTCTGTCTCTCTCTCTCTTTCTCTCAAAAAATAAATATTAAAAAAATTTTTAATGTTTAAAACAAAACACTGAGTGCTGTGTTCATATTTGTTCTGGGGATGTGTATGTGCTTTTAATATTCAAGCAGTTTGAAGACTGTGCTTCAAAACATCTCTACATGGTAACAAAAACTCAAATGGCACAAAAGGATCCGTGGGAAGAAGTATGTCCCCTTCCACCTCGGACCCCCAGGCTTTCTCCTAGAGAAAGCCTTGTTTCTTGTGCGTTGTTCCTGAGCAAGCCTATATATGCACAAGTTTATAAATGTTTGTACATCCCTTCTTTACACAGCAGTAGCATAACCATGGTATATAGTAAGAGATGGCCTCTTGATTTTGTTCGCTTAGCAATCCATCACGTGCTCACTCCATATCAGAACATATGGGGGCTGCCATTCTTTTTGACGGCCACATAATGTTCCCAGTCGTGGGCACACCGTGTCATGTCAACAGCCTCTTACTGCTGGGTCGTCTCCAGTCCTTTCTGTGGCCATATTTGTGGGTTGTCTTTTTTTAGGCACATAGACAATTGTTTCTGTGGGTGCACTTCCCGGAGGAGGGAATTACTGGGTCAAGGAGTTTGAACAGAAAGCGTCAGAGAACAAATGGAGGAAAGTGAGTAACAGAAGTGAGACAACTTGCCCAGGGTCACAGCTAATAAGCAGGAGTGCCCTCTGTGAATCTGGGCAGACACGTTTCGGAGTCCAGGCTCTATAGCTCCCCGCGCTGCTGTTTTCTCCTTCCTTCATTTTTTTCCGGTTGAAAGTAACCGTAAGTTTT